ACGGAAAGTACAGTATTATTTATTATAAATTCTATTGGTATATAATAAATATTTAACATGTGAATTACATAAACTTAAAATACTAGTTTAATAAAATCGCCAATATGAACTAAATTAATTAAATTGATTTTTTTTCTTAATTGAATTAAATTCAATTTAAATCAAATAAATTTGACCTTAATTAATTATATATCAATAAAATTTTCATATTTTTATAATAAATTATCAATGTAAGAAGACTATTATATAACTTTGACAATTTAAGTTATTTTTAAGGGACTACCTTAATTTAAGATGTTTAAATTTAGTTATTTTAAATATTGAATGATAAATTTTAAAGAAACGCAACAAATGTTAAAGTTAGCTAAGTTAGACTCGTCTTATTAAATTAATTTTTGATGAATTGATGAACACATGTTAGTTATATTTGGTTTTAATAACATTTGTATGACATTTGGAATTACAAAACTTTTATTTATAGCTTTATATTTATTTTATTTGAAATGTTTAGATTTTATAGTTAATCTATGAATGAGAATCATTTACTTTTTGTGAGAAATCTAAAAGAAACTTTTCACTATCTTTTTTAATTTTTTTAATTTTTGAAATTTGTTTATTTATAATATATATATATATATTTGAGGAGTAGAAAGTGTCATATTTTTACTCTTAATACTTTAATAAAATCTTTAACTTCTCATTTCTATAATACTATACTCTTTACTTTAATGAAAATATTTTATCTAATGTTATGGTATTTACTTTCTTTAAGGTTAGCAATAAGCCAAACGATCAATGATTTTGTTTGTTTAAGGCCAATTTGCTAAAAAGGTCAAATGTAATATTTTCAAAAATCTTTTTAACAAGAAAAGGCCAAGCTTTTAGATTTGAAAAAAAAAAAAAACTTAATAGACTTGATATATTGTGCTATTTAACATATATTATATGTTAACTTAAAATTAATATTTATATTTAATATGTATATATATAGTTAATAATAATAATAATAATAATAATAATAATAATTTTAATACTTTGATTCATCGGCTTACTTAGACGTATTGGTCTTTTGGTTTATTTATATATTTCTTATACAAAATATATCCAAACCTTCTCATTGAAGGAAAAATCTCTAAAAATATATTCATGCAAGATATTAGTGTGTGTTTAATATATAAAAGTTAATTATTTATAAATTAACATTTTAATATTTTAAAAATAAATTATCAATACTTAAAAATAATATAATATTACAATATACATTATTTATTATAAATCTAAAATATAATTTATTTATTTAAAATATTTATTTTAAATTTTAAATATGATTTATATATTTAAATATAATATTTATGTAACCAGCTAATCAGGTGTACCTTTTGGTCACCACGTGATGTAACCAGCTAATCAGGTGTACCGTTTGGTCACCAAGTGATGTAACCAGCTAATCAGGTGTACCTTTTGGTCACCAAGTGATGTAACCAGCTAATCAGGTGTACCTTTTTGGTCACCAAGTGATGTAACAAGCTAATCAGGTGTACCTTATGTCACTAAGTGATGTAACAAGCTAACCAGGTGTACCTTGTGTCACCAAGTGATGTAACATGCTAACAAGGTGTACCTTGGGTCACCAGTGATGAAATGATGAGAAATGTGATTATGAGACACATGACTGACGCGACATGCATTTATGAGTCGAGTCCATGAGATCATTGCATGATGAATGACTGTGTATATGTTACTGTTGTATGTATAATTTGAATTTGTACCTAAATAATGTGTAACTATGACTGTGCTTGTATGATTTGTGTGTGTGTTGCCTAACTGTTATTTCTACACTTTGAATCGAGTGAGATGTTTCTCACTCCCTTGTTGTCCTTTGTATGTGTTTAAAATTATGTTGCAGGTGATCATCAGCATGAGGATGTTGGTGATGAGGCTTAAGCTTCAGTTGGGCATGCTCTGATAGGATATGTGACATCGGGGCATAGCTAGGCATAATTAGGACTTTATTATTGTATTTTGTTTTGGAAGAACTCATGTTTCATTTTTTTCGCATTTGATCATGTTTCAAGTTGATGAGTGTGAATTCTCTACTCTCATGTTATTGGAATTTTTGTTTTAATTCCATAATTTTTTTTAACCCAATAAGATATTTCTTTTAATTATTATATATAATTGTTAGGGTAGAGGGTGTCACATCGAACGTTGGTCAGTGAGGAGCTCTATAACTTGGTTACACCAGACGTGGTAATGAGAGGCGTTAGGTGTGAATACTTAAAGAGCTCTCTAACTTGGTGATGTCGAAAGCAGGTTGAGAGGTGTTGGACGTGACCAAGGCAGTGGATCTCTACTTAGATGACATTGTGTTTAAATTGTTGAGTTTATTGAAGATTGCTGAGTTAATTACTGAGTCAATTACTGAAGCCCCTCTTGAAGATTTTTATGAAGACCGAAGATGTTTTAGTTTTGATGATGTTAGCATTAGATTTGTATAGATTTATTTAGTTTGCTTAATTTATTTTGTATTTCATGGCCTATATTGAAAAGGATAATGTATTGATTTTTATTAGAATTAGGCTTAGATGTGTTTGCTTATTGTGAAGAATTAATTTCAAAATTACATCTTGTTTTAGAAAGCATAAAACATATTTCAACTTAATGTTTCTCATTTCATGTGAAAATATAATGTAAGAAATTACAATGTGTTTTGACATAAAATGGAACTTGGTTCATTCAAAAGAATTCATGATTAAGTCAGGTAATAGATTACCATGTGAGGTAACCGATTACTGAAACTTAGTTTTAAAGTGGAATTCAACATCCTCTTTGTGATGATCGATTACCTATTCATGTAGTTGATTACCATAGTGACTTTTGAGTGAAAACAAGTGAAACAAGTTGAAAAATCATCGAGATAATCGATTATATCAACTTCAGTAATTGATTACCTCTGCTGAAAAATGAGTTCTATGATTTTTGGAACACGAGATAATCGATTACCAGGACTAGTAATTGATTACCTCTTTTCTTGTTTCTCTGATTTCAGTTCTCTATAAAAGCTAGTAATAGATTACATGATATTGGTAATAGATTACTATTGTTACGAGTTTTTAATGTTGAAATCTTATTTGCTCTATAAATATAACTCTTTTCAAAAACTTAAAAGAAGGATGACATATTTGATTAGAAAGATCAAAGAGTGAAAAGGAAAAATATTTTCAAGAATCTGAAAATCGTTTTTGAGTTAAGATCAAATATTTTCAAAATAATTCAAAAGCAAGAAATTCAAGAAAAGTGTCTTCTTGAAAGAAATTCAAGATTGCTGAACAATTCTTTGTGGAAGATCAATCTACATATTAGGTGTATCAATTATGATCTTTAACCTTTTATTTTGTATAGTTGGGTATGCTATGGTATGTGACTCTTTGAGATAAGGGTATCTCAAGAAAGAGTGAAAGAGAAATCTTGAGATAGGTTTTCTCAAGTGGATTCTTGAGGTGCAAGAATTCTAGTGATTACATAATCTTGTGGGATCAAGATTAGGTGATTATGTTTTATGATTATAATATTGCTTGTACATGGTGTTTGTAAAGAATATTATAGTAGAAAGACTGGATTTAGCGGGGAGCTAAGTCTGAAACTAGATGTAGGCCTTTGTATTGTTGAACTAGTATTGATTACTTTGCAATTTCTCTCTTTACCTTCATATCTTGTTATGGTTCATATCGAATTGATAAAAAAAAATTCAAGAAAGTAAAAGGAACATTTTCTTGAATATTATAGATTGTTGATTTGTGAAATCTGATATGATATATGCAATCTGGTAATAAAGTGAAAGAAGGTAATTACTAAAATTAATTTGGATTATAACTTCTATTCTACTGTGTAACAAATCTGATATACTTTGTATCTTGTTTGGTTTGTAATCTAAATGTGATTAGTAAAAAGTTGTATGAGAAAGAAAGAAATCAGCAAGAGAAAAAGAAAGACCATTAGAAGCCATCTAAGCGAAGAATCTCTTCAACCCCCCTTCTAGATTCATGTACTACTCACAACCAACACATTGGGCACACATTTAGTGGCATTGAGCACAAGTCATTTAGAGACTTTGTGCCTCATCCACATCAAGCACATGTGATTTGGAGACGAGCAAGCATGGTTTGTTAAACAAAAGCTTGTTGTTTATTTGTCTAAGTATTGGAAATGATTGAGTTGTATTGATTACTTATATACAATATGATGATGTTTGATTATTTTTCAATATGTATTGATTTAGAATAATGTATAATGATGTTTTGAGTTGATAATTGATTGGAGTTGAATAGTTATTAAGTTGTTTAGACATATCGTGTCGTGATACATTTCTCAATTGAGATACATAAAAACTAGAAGAGAATAAAATTGTTTTAGAAACTAAAGTAGCCCATAGATGGGGTTTTAAGTTATGGTAGTCAGAGAGGCCAAAATGAGAACCCTTTAGATCTACTTCACCTAATTTTAGTGTCATTCCAAATCGCGATTTAGAATGACACTAAAATTGGAGTTGTAGTCTTCTTGGGTAGGATCAATTTAACCATGTGATATCTTTTTGTTTTAGTTTCATTCTATTCTATGTTGGATTTTTATTTAGTCGCAAAATTTCTAATTCAACATTATTTTGCAGTTGAACTTTCATGGTAGATCACTAAGTTTAGATTCACAATTTCTGACACTCACTTTTAGCCATTTCTATTTGGAATTGAAAATGAAAAATGCATGTCCAAATTATAACTTTTTTTATTACTTTAATTTGTCATTTTACATATTCTCTATGAATTCCAACTAATTTTTTCAAGTGATGTAACCAGCTAATCAGGTGTACCTTTTTGGTCACC